AGGTAATGGTCATCTGCTTTTAGACAACCTCTGAGCAGCAGTTCCATTTATTTAAATACATTTGAAAGCAGAAAAAGATGCTAATCAGCTGATTAAGTTTTCTTACAGCGAGCAGTTGATGTAGATGTAATTACTCTGAGTGATGATCAGATTGACAAGTTGCTTGCAGTAGCAAGCTGCATTCTGAATTGTTTGGAAAAAAATCAGGTGCCTCAGCTGGTGGGACAAATTGGCGAGTACTACATTCTAGAACTAGGCTTGGGTTCTCACTTTTAAGTTACCTTTTGGTTTTTACTTCTCTGCAAATAAAGGTGAGGTATCCACTACATTCACTGGCTGGAGCAGAAGTTGGGAGGTCAGAATCCTGTGTAGCTGTAATATGTAGAAAGTGAGCTGTTACTTAATTATTATTTTACCTGCTACTTTTCTGAAATCTTTTTGACGAAGTAGGATGAAAGCAATTCCTCTGAATCCATTCCAGGTTTTAGGAGCTGGTGCATGTAAAGCTTTTCAATATGGGTGAATAAATGTAAGCCCCCAAAACACTTATTGATGTTTACAGTGTGACTTGATTCTAAGCACTGCTTCATGCTTACAAGTACTGGTATATAAGAAGGTGCTAGCACCAGTCACCTTGGCACATGAGGGCACTCAAGGAGGTGTCTAAATGTGGATTTGGTTGGTTTAGCATCAGCATCTAAGCTTGAATATGTTGATTGACGTTTTGAAAGCGTCAGCCATATGAACCTGGAATGTAAACATCATGTCAATAGAGATCCTTTCATAGATTCTGTCTTAAACTGTACCTGGCCATCTTTACTACTTGTATGTTTGATTTTCCTGGTGAGGGGAATCTGTGATAAGAGAGTATAATGTAATATACTTTCTGCCTATCTAAAATAATATTTAAGTAAACATTTTGATTTCTACATACTTATTGCACTGAAATGTTTGGGGGTTTTGTTTTTGTTGGGGTTTTTTTGTGATAAACTCAGCTAACTTCAGGTCCCAACACCCATTTGTGCTGGAGCAGTGTTTGACCATAGCAGGCTTACAGCATTATTTATAAAGGACAGATATATATAAATATGAAGTACCTCATGTTGAATGTTATTGTACTGTATCTTTAATGTCACAGTGCAGATCTTGTTGGACTCATGAATGTGTATAATTGCATTAAACATACAAATAAAAATGGTTCTTAAACTGTTGTTTCCTGCAGTATCTTTGAAGCATGAACTGTGAAAGCCTTTGCTTCGTTATCCCTTTCATCCAGTTTCTATTGTTGTACAGTTGTGCACAGATATTTGTTGAGCTTGTGTATTCAGAGATCTTTTGATCCCCAAAGCAGTAGAAGTCTAAAGAAAAAACAAGGAAGAACAATGAAAATGTTAATCAGTTACATTGTAAAAAGGTTGGCGGTTAAGCTAATGAGCCAGAGTGAATGAATTCATTTATGTGCTTTATGAAAGACCTTGTCTACGAGCATTAATATTTCAATGTTCTATTAATATTATTAAGTATGTGAAGATGAAGGGGGAGGGTCTCATGTTTATTCCAGAAGGCAGTTGGCACAGGAAAGGCCATGGTTTTCAGTCTCTGATAGATCAGAATAAAGGACATGGTTAGTGCCAAGAGCCTGTTCTGTGCTGAAAAGTTAATTATGTAATATTATTCCGAATTCTGACTATTCTCTTACTTAATGATTTTCTTCCAGGGGATTTCAAACTTCATTTTAAATACACTTTATGGTCAGTGAAGCTGAAGCCCCACTTCCATGATGTCCAGCTCCAGGACCTTTTGGGTATTACTAGCTAATGATAAATATTTCACAGTGTGATAAAAAAACATGGAAACTTAGTGATATAGAAACATGGAAATTTAATTGAGGAGGTCTCTCCCAGTGCAAACAATACCTTCAGACTTCATCCAAAATTCTGTTTAAAGTAAGTTTACAGGCATCATCAGACTTGTCACTTCTGGTAAGTTGTTCTTCTAAAATTACTTGGTACCACACTTCTTCATTCTTGATCTAAATTCTCTTATGTGTCCAGTGCTTCTAATTAGTTGGAGCTGGCTTCAGACAGAAACTGTGTATGCCTTGTTCTGTACTACTTATACCAGCTCATAAATGTGTGGTAGCTATGGGTGTGATTTGGTGCAGGAAGGACCACAATGGCGTTAGTCTAGCCAGATATCTTAGAGAAGATCGGTGCTTAAGATCCTGTTACCTCTGATAAATAGGTAAGAATTAAGTGGACAAGATTGACATAGGATGGCAAATCTCATCCTAAGGGACATTCTCTATTTCTGGCTGAAATCTGACGGAAGCGCTATGACACTCTGGAAATTGATGTTAGGTAGAGCTGTATCTCTTGCACTGTGTTCAGTGATGCGGAGAAGCGTGTGTGTATTCACACCAGTAAAAAATGGAGTTTGAAGTGGAAAGAAAAAGAGATAGTATATTTCTGGGTTTGGGAGGAAGATGATTCCAAGAGCTGAATTCAGTTGTTTGTCTCACAGGTAAAATCCTGCTTGGTGGAGAAGAGCTATCTGGTCCCACGTAGTTGGAAAATCCTCAGGAGCTGACATCCACTGCCTCTCACCAAGGCAAGGGGTCATCTGAAACAGGCTCCTTGCAAGTGCTCAGCTCTTGGGAGCAGGAACCCAAAATTTCTTGGCCTCTGATAAGCAAAACTGCTTACCCTGCAGCCCAGGACAAGTCTGTACCTCCTTAAGGAAGCTGACTGGGACTGCTGTAAACGGGGGGGTCTTCTTGTACCTCCCAAGCTCTGCATTCCATGGAAGATCCTGGCGCAGGGGTAAGATGAGGGCTTTAGCCCACCAGCAGGATTTGGCCACTGGAAAGCAGTAGCTTTTAAGCCAGCCTATTCCACCATGCATGTAAGCAATCAGTGGGAGCAGGAATACCTGCTGATTTCCTGGAGGCAATGAAAGGAGCTGCTTTCTCACATGGCAGTGTGACCGTGTTCAAAATAAAATTAAAAAGCCTTTTGGCATGCTGCTCTGTTTCCAGAAGTCTGGATTTATTTTCTCCCAAAGACTTCCCCATAAAGTGAGGCCCCGGCCCAATTGAAATCAGTAGGAGTTGCCCTGGTGACCTCGGTAAACCCAGGATTTTCATTTGCAATGTTCCATTTGTGTGATTATTCCCAAAACACAACATAAAACTGCCCAAGAAAGGGAAATTAATTTTGAAATCCCTCTGTAATCTGATTATCTAAAAACAGGTGGAAACCTTTCTATTAAATCTTACAAAACTCCTGCTCATCAGGTTTTATACGCCTTCCCCTAAGCTTTTCTATGCTTTATCTTCAGCCATGAATCTATAGGCAGAACAGTAAATCTGTGTGAGGTTTTATGTAGATTTTTACAGTCTGTGTATGGAATTCATAGCACATAAAATGCATAGCATGGATAAAGTGTTTTTAAGATTAGAAAGTGTGTGTAAATTGTCCATTGTCTGTTCAGCACAAAGAAAAACCAGGCACAGCTATTTTGCTTGAAGGCACTGGTATTTTGAAAGAGCTTCTTGAAGCCTTCGAGCTTGTTGATAGCATCAGAAATGCATTTGTATTAAGCCTTTAATTGTAGCATTTTAAAATCAGCTTTCTAATTGTTTTCTGTAGGCAAAGATAACATAGTTGGCCTTCAGGGATCCTCTATCCTGCTCCAATGGGGTTTGCATTTCAGCAGATACTAGCAAATGCAATTTTCTAGATCTCATTTTAAAGCTTCACAGTGATGCTAAGTGCTGCTTGGGGAGCATCACCATTTCAAAAATAGCCATGTCTGGTTTTAGCCTAACAGCAAACAAGAGCTTGCATGGGGAGATACTGTCAGCAGTGATGCTGTGGTTGAGTACAGAGCAAGGGTTTCAATTTCCTTGAGGGGGAAACACCTTGGCTTGCTTTAATGTGATAGCAACCACATGCTGACCATCATGTGTAACAGTTCAGGCCCCATGTAGAATCTGAAGGCATCAACATGCAGTGGGGGACCACTGCATGAAGGCAGCAGTGGAAGCTCCCAGGGCTGTTGTGAGTAAGCTGATTTCATGAGCCAAAGAACTGGCATCCTGTACCACAATGCTCTCAGTGATGGAAGGTTATAGCTGGGCTGCTAAATGGCATGTGATTGTGATTTTTCACAACTGTGCATCCCATTCTGCATTTTATTGTTCTGGGAGACTGTCCAGCTTTCCAGTACCTGGGCTGCTTATTCTTGCTCTGGGCCAGAGGTTTGCATGTGGTCTAAGTCCCTGTGTACTGCAACTGCGGGGACTTGGAGCACCTCATTGAAAGGACTGGCTGAGTGAGGGTGGGATATCCTAGCAGTGCTTTGGTGAGCTGCTTGCAAGCTCTCCTGGGCATGCTGAGCTAGCATGGCAGGAGAGGGCAGGATAATTCTTACACTTTTGTGTATATGTGTATTTCAGTGTTCCCTAGCCTCACTTTCTCCAGCCAACTGTGCTTGAAATGGAAAATGAGCTTTAATTCACTTTTTTAGGGTATAAGAACTGAGATTCTACAAAGGCTAATTCATGCTTCTGTCTTTACAAAGTCAACAGTCCCAATGGGCTCAGGGGAGGTGGCAGGGGACAGGACTCAATGTCTACCTTAAAAGCATACATGCAAATACCCGCTTTCTTCTCCAACACCTTGTTCTTAGGAAGTTGTGATGCAATAAAATGAATTCATAGGGAGATGGAGCTTGGCATATCTGGGTTGTTTCTGTAAAGGGACTTTTTATGAACAAAAGAACCAAGGAACTGTATTTAGTTTAGAAATACTAAATCCTGCAGAATGCCCAGTGTGGAGGTATTGCAATACAAAGACACTTCCAGATTACCCTTTGGTTGCAGTCTTAAGCTAAGGTGTGACATGTTCTTGCTTTTATTCTTTCTCACCAGGGCATGCTGGTAGTGGTACTTGCATGAGACACCATTAGTGCTCAGGGAGAAGTGATGGTGAGGGAGAGAGATGAAGGTCAGAGATCTGGAATACAGAGGAAAATTATCTAATCAGAAGTCACAGCTCCCATCAGGCACAGACAATAGATGGTAAACTGGTTTCAGAACTATTCAGGCATCATGGGAGACAAATCAACAGACTTCAGGTAAGAATACAGTCATGACAACTATTTAAATGGAGTTTTAAATTTGCTTATGCTTGAGACTTTCCTCAACCCTACAAAGGGAGAAGTTGTTTTGCTGCCTTAGAATAAAGCCTGTACAAATTTTTGCCTTTGTCCTCCATGCTTCATATAGTAGTTTCTTTAATATATGCGCTATATAAGCTGGTTTTCCTCCTCAGTGCTAGGGTGTGAGCAGGCTGACTGACCCTGCTTAAGGAAACAGTTTTCAAATGTAACCTGTAATTGTCATATCAAGCACTGTCCTTCATCCCTCCATGCACTGTCTTTGTTGGCATGTAATAAGATGGCAGAGAACAGGAGTCCTGAGACGCAGCTGGGTGATGAAGCTTTCCCTGCACCCCTGTGTTTCCAAGCATGGCAGTAGCAGGGTGCTGTGTTCACTTACCAAATACTTATACAGACTTAATGTGAATTGAGCGGGGGCTCAACATGATGCCTTTCTGGTGAATTAGCCTGGAGCACACAGGATGGCCTTTGCAAGTTCTGTGATTTCTGTGTCACCTTTCTGCCAGCTGTGGGGGGGAGATGGATGATCCCAGATCTGCCATGAAGCCTGATGATGTTCCAAGCAAATATGAACTGGCAGGGTGAGTTCATACTGGGTCAGCATTTCATGGCATTTCTGAGCTGGTATCGGGAGCTTTAGAAATCATTGAAGTGCAACATGAGATATATAAAAGTTGGGGTTCCTACCAGCTAGTGGCAGTCACTTTTCTCCCCATTTTACAAGCAATGCTCCCCAACAGTAATCATGGGTATCACTAGCTCTGGGGTACTGGGGAAAGGCAGAGGCTTAACACTGGGGCACTGAAGGTGAGTTGTGGAATGGTCAGTATAATCAGCTGAAAGATACTGTGGTGTTTTGATTCCTTCCTAGCATTTTCCAGCAGTGCAGGCTGCACTGGCAGGCTTGTTGTCTCTGGTTGGAGGGGTATTTTCAGGTGATGAAGCATGACTCCCAGCGTTAGGAGGGCTGAGAGCAAACCCCTCCTGTTCCCCATCAAGGAAATCTGTCATTCAGTACTCCATGTCTGCCTTTGTAAGAAGGAGGGTTTCATTTCAGCAACGCCAAAAAAGTGGAATTAAATGACCTAGAGCTTGGAATGAGATGTGTGAGCTGATCTGGGAGGCAGGCTTGCAGACTGCTATTTAAAAATAGGCAGCACAGGAAGGAACTAGTGCATTGGATTACAGTAGGACTGATGAATTAGTAAGGATAAGCTATCCATAATTTCAGTGTGCTGGCACAGGCAGGTAAGAGAGAGGAAGATGTGCATATTAAAAGTACTCTCAGCCCAGTCAGGATAAGATCAGGACCCTTCAAAGGAAGAAAAGTCAGCCAAGTTAAGGAAGAAGAAATCTCCCTCCCTTGATTTCTGCTGTTGTCATGCTGCTCAACTGATTGTGTAGATTATGTGCTTTTGCTGGGCTCCTGTTAGGACACCATAGAGAAAGGAGCGACCCCAGAAGGCCAGAACGAGATCTTTCAAAGGTCATTATCAGAACTGGTTTCTCATCAATAATACTGCTTGATCGGAGGAAAAGACTTCAAATTGCAGGGCTTTGATTGCTGAGGGGGAAGCTTTTAACCGCTTCCTGCTGCTCTGTCATTTTGTGCTAACCCCAAATGGCCCCTTTAAATTGATGTCCTGTTTCCCATTCACTGCCCACAGATCACTCTTCTCCTGTTAATATAGGACACATTTGCACATGATGGAATTGGAGTAGCTAAACAGTAAATCCAAAAAACAGTGAACCCAAAAGTATTTACCTAGTGATCAAGGTGCTGATTCCCCTTCCCCAGCACTTCATAGCAGTCAGCTGTGAACTTCATTAAAAAATACAGAACCTCATGTCTGCCTTAAGAGAATCTTTGCACAAATACTGTTCCCAAACAATGCAATGTGAATTACATCAGAATCAGTCTGATTTCTGTGTCACAGCTGATTTCTTGCAGCTAATCAGACGATAAAACAAAGGCTTGGAGTGATGCAGCTGTTCAGGCAATGGGGCGTCATTGCTGACTCTGTGTGACACCGGGTATTGCTGCTCTGGATTAGATCAGCAATGAAAACAGCACAACAGCTCTGTTTTCTCAGGGCAGCAGTCCCGTGTGTGCCTGGAGCCTGGAAGCTCTTTGGGATGAAGAGGAGCTGGTGGCTGAGCCCCAGAAAGGTTTTTCTTTGCTTTGATGTATGTCTGAACTTACAGTCTTACAGATCTGCGCATACATACACTTTTCCATCCAGAATTGAGTTGTTCTTGGTCCTTCTGTTGGCAGCATTTTACTGAAGTCCATTTTTACTGTCAGGCTAAACTAAAAGATGCTGACTGTGCACTGGGGTGATGCGTAGTCTCCTTTTATATCTGATCTGCTACAGAGTTCCTCCAGCAGCAGAGAACTGTAGGGAACTGGACAGTGAGTCCTGAAACAAGGCCAGGTAACACACAAATACCTTAAAAATGGTCTCAAAGTACTTTGATTTGACTGGAGAGGACAGTGAGCAAGCACCTTGTAATCAATCTATGGTGTTTAGTGAGTAAAAAGGAAAAACAAATACCATTCTTCTGTTCCCCTTCAAACAGTACTTTTCCCTTCTCTCCTCCGTATCTCCATTTCTCCTGCTGCAAAAATGGGAGGATAAAATCAAGCGCCTCTGCAAAGTGCTTTGATATCTGCTCATCAACACTGCTCTGTAGGCAGCAGGTATCAGGACAAGCTCAGTGAACCCCCTGCTTTCCTCAGGCAGCTGAGATCGCTGGTGTGCTCTGTCTCTGAAAGATTTCAATAGCCTTAAATGTCACTAAACTGAGAAAAGTGGCGTTACTGAAAATCGGGATGAAAGTGGCCTCTGATGTAAATGCTTTCTAAAATCTGTGTAATCCTCAACTACTTTAGTTCCAACAGATCTTCCCATAAAATGAACTGCCAGCCAACAGGTAAATAAAAATGCAAAGTATCCCCAAAGCAAACATGTTACTGGCTTTTGAAACAAATCCATTTAAATAATGTGGAAATATATTAAAGAAACAAAATCTATTCCGCTTTATGTTTAAAGATGAGTTAATGCAAATATCACAGGTTTATCCTGCGTTACTCCCTTGAGAGGAGTCACTGGGGAAGCAATTTGTTTCTTGTTAGCTAAGACAGGATGCTTTGAAGTTAGTGAGTTGTCTGTCTGCGAGTGGCCTATTTAATCCTGAGGAAAAGTGTCAAATCTGAGCTGAAGTGACATCTGCATTGTTTAAAGCTCTGGCAAGAAGAGTTCTTCAGATGACACCAACCAGCACTATTGAGGGACAGTGGAAATTTGCTTAAAGAATTCCTGGAAGGAATTTTTTATTGGCTGTTATCAATGGACAATGCAGCCCTGAAGAGTGAGTGTCATCAGGAGCGCCTCTATTATGCCTTTCCTTTGGGGTTTTTCCATCTTTTAAACCGGTTACTACAAGGCTAAGGGCTCTCATCAATTGCTTCTTGGTGGCAGCAGGTGAGGATGGTTTCAGTGAGGACTGGTGTCTGGGAAAATCCCTCAAAGACAGCCTGTAACTGGATTAACTAAATTACATAGAAATAATCTCTTTTCATTTCAGCTTGGAATATTTTACTGATTTCATGTATAGGATCACTCTATGATCCTGTTGGGTGGCCCAACTCTGTAGGCAGTGAGTTGTGACTGGTTATGCGATGAAACGTATACCTCTTCCCAGATGTTTCCCTGCCCAGAAAACATTAAAAGCTGTTGTCTGAAAGTCTAGAGCCGTGGAGTTCATAGCAGGCTACACCTTCATCCCAGAACTGTTTTCAGGAGGCAAGTTTTGTAGTCTTTATTTACAAATCAGACCCTCAGCAATCAGTCAGCACAGCTCCTCTTAGCTACTAGAGCTCTGTGCCGTGTCAGCTTTTAGCCTGAAGATACCAGCCATGGGGTATCAGCTGCAAAGAACATCTCTGCAGTGTGAACAGCCTATAAAACGATGCAGGGAGGTCAATGTGCATCTGAAGGTAGCTCAAAACAACACCTAAAGGAGGAATACAAACTGTTTACTATGATTGGATTTGCACTGAAAGCTACTGATGCAAAATTCATAGCCAACATGAATTAATTTGCCCCTGATCATTCCTTACAAAAACCTCCACCTTCTTCCCCCTTTCCCTAATGACTTGTATTTGACAGCTGTGGATTTGCAAAGCAAACTGCAGTAGCAGAACAGACAGTAGTGTTTTGAAACAGCACTAAAAAACTGTGAATTGAATTGCTCTTGAAACTTTAAAGTTGCAGCCAATTTATACCAAATTGAACTGGTCATGTTTTTATGGACAATATGTAATCTTTGAGATCTTTCTTATTATCACCTGTGTGTGAGGGAGAAGAATTAGCCCTATTTTAGAGATAGGGAAATGAGGCACGGGACATCTGAGGCAGTCCTGGATATGACTGCTACATAGTCTTACTGACAAGAAGGCACTGCCTCAGCTTTTCGTGTTAGCTGCAAGATCTCAAATTGGTTTTCCTGGTGTGCTACAGAATTTAGGTCAAGTTCCCACTGGGGACCAGGCAGGGAGTGACATGTGCAATGCTTCTGCAGGTTCATACCAGCATCTCTGCAGGAGCAGAGGGTAAGGTGTTGGTGTTTCAGCATTTCATCCTTGTTCCTCCTCTGAAGGGTGAGCAGAAGGCTGTGGCTGAGTTAACGGCCTCTGCAAATGCAGTATAAAGCTGGTTTATGTAATGACCTGCAATTTATATCTTTGGTCATGAAACAGGACCTGGTGGCTGTTTTAATGACTAGCATGTAGTGTAAATACTGATGTGAATTCTTTACGTGGATAGTCCATGCATGCTGGTGGAGGCAAGGAGAACTGGGCTGCTGTCCAAGGACAGAAGCTGGTTGCTTTTCTATTTAGGATACATTGAAAACATTAGGTATGAGATGTGAGAAGAATAAATAAGCCTGTT